GATAATACAAGTACTGAAAATGAAATGAATACTTTATTATGAGACGAACCAAAATAGAAAAAAATAGATGATTTGTTAAGAGACGAATGAAATTGTATATTTGTATTAAAAATCTTATAAAATGAATAATATCAATTTTAGTTTGAAATTAATATCAATCAAATACACTATGTACTTTGAAAAGAAATGCATGTTGTAGCTATTACTTTTATATTTTGCACTATATTTACTCTCTTTGTCTCATTTACTCATTGATATCATATATTTTTCAAAATACTTATTTGATACTTTATATCACAATAAATTAATATAATATTCTCTCTGTTCATTTGTTTATTTAGTAATTGTAGACCATATTATTAACTACTAAACTTATTTTTTACACTTATTTATTTTTTATCCCATTTTCTTATACATTTATGTCTAAAAATAAGTGCAACCTGATTTTTATATTATCAACTATGATTAAAATATTGATATTCATTCATTCATGTGCAAAACCTAAATGAAATATTAAAATTGAAAGGAGAAAATATTATGTTTATTAAATTCATGTTACTTTAAATAAGTAAATATTTGGTTGACAGCAAAAGTAATATAGTTAAAAATAGTACACATGTGAATTTTCAATATGGAACTCGCCGTCTAAATAAACACACTCTTTGCCAATCAACATTTGATAGGATATATTAGGAATTGAAGATATGGTCAAACAAACATGTTTGCAATTAGAACTTTGCAAGTGTAATAATAATCAATAATTGTGTTTGAATAGCTTTGCAACATTACTTTTTCCTTCTTTTATAATATCAAGTTGGATGAACATTAATTACCATCTATTTTTAACTTATTTTTTGTTTTAATCTTCCTCTTTATTTGTAATATTACTATTGAGATTTTCTATTTTTTTTCTCCATATGATTTGAATTATTTTACTATACAATTTTTATCATTCAAATAAAAATATAATATCTTTTTTTTTCCCACAAATTATAATATCAAAGTATTATTATTTAAATAAAATAAAATAAACTCAAATATGAACACAAACCAAACAAATCCAATTGTCTTATATAAATTTTTATTAAATGAATATTCAATTTTTGTCTTCATTCACTCTTAATCTAAAAAAATTTAAACTAGAATTCTGTCTCTTATTATGGGTGTCTTCTTTTGCCAAATAAAATATATATGTTATCTAACAAAATTATATATTACATTTATTCATTTTTTTTTATATTTTTACACAATTTTTTGAATCTTATAAAAAAATATATATATTTTCTCAAACTATCCCACAGAACAAACATTAGACTAATCTACTATAAATATACATACGAGAAAAACATATGTGAAACTGCATTATTTGTAGCACTTATATAGAATTATATAAATTATATTTCAATTGACTAATGTGAAAAACATACTCTCCTCCTCTGACTTCGTTTGTCTATTTTTTTTTTATTTTAGTCCGTTCCACGTCATTTATCATTTTCTTTTTTAAATATAATTATACTGTTTAATCATATTTTAAAATTCATCGTTTATAATTTTTTTATTTTAATTAAACTATTTAGTCATCTTAATTTTAATCTTAATTTATAATTATTTTTATTCAAGCATAACTATTTTTACTAATATACACTTATTAATTACTTACTAACTATATTATACCTAAAACTCAGTATCTAAGTTAAATGATATAAATTAGCTGGCAAGGGGGAAGTAACTATTAGTATATAGTAGATAAACATTTTTCTTTTAATTGTTTCTTTACTTTGTTATTTAAATATGATAATAATGTAACGACTATGAAATATTTTTATTATTATTGCAATTTTATATTGAAATTAATTATGCATATTTTTCTAATAAAAATGAAATATTATTTCTCACATAATATCTATAAAAATATTATTTATCAAAACATTAAATTAATTGGTTATATTAAATTAATTACAAACAATATTAATTCTTTTATCAATTTGTATTTATAATAATAATAAAAATAATAAAACAATTGTTATAGGTAGAAAATTGATAGCATTTTGTAATTTTTTTTATTGAAAATAATAATATATATTTTTAATAAATAAATAAATAAATTCTCACGTTATTAAAATATTAATTAAACAATCAATCAAAATAATATCTTATGTCAAATTAATTTCAAATCGTATTTGATTCTTTCAACCAATAGTATAATAATAATAAAAAATATTAAACAATTGTTTTATATAGAAAACTGATATTAAGTCTAGTGTCATTTTTCTTCTGAAAATATTAAAAAATTAAATACATAATTTTATTTGATTATATTTTAATATTTTTATTTTACTAAATATTACATTTTTTATCAAAAATATCAATCTATTTAAATATGCATCTGATAAACATTAATTCATTTTTTTTTTATTATTTTCAAACATATGTATGTTTGTTTAGCGTTTTTGTTGAAATATTTTTTTAAATGAGATTTGAAAAATCATATTGATAATACATAAAAAAAAATATATTTAATATTATTTTTTTTAAAAAAAAATATTATATACATATTGAAAAATATGTCAATAAAAAATTATTTGAGTAAACAAAACACATAATAACCGATCAACTAATATAGAATATATTTAAAAGGATAATAAATTGTAGTATAATACCATTTGTTTTTTTTTGGATTTAGTAGATTTTAAGCAATAAATAAAGGCGATCACTACAATGTTGAATATGTGCTGAATAACACACAGATAACTAGTAAATAGCATACGGTAATGTTAGTGATAGTACATCATTTATATTAATATAATATAAACACAACACTTGAACTAACATCACACACATACCTAGCAAACAATACGCAGTAATATTAGTGATAATACATCATTTATATTCATATAATACAAATACAACAGGATATAGTCGCAATCTGAGCAATTGCTCAGGGCTTCTACTTCAAAAGGGGCCCATATTTTTTAATTTTAGCTATGATTAGATATATAAAATTTATTTTAAACTTTATCCCATAATTTTTAACAATTATATAGTCGAATTTTAATTTTAAAATTAAATTCTAACCAAATATTTTCTAAAATCTCATCTTTCTCGCCTTTAGAATTCTTAAATATTTATAAAGACTATAATTATTATTAGATATAATGAAATTTAATTTAAAGTTTATCTTTTTTTTTTAAACTCTAACAATTTTTTTTTCTAATCTTATATTTCTAACATTTAGAATTTGTAGTTATTATTATTGAGTTACTGACTTTATAATAGTTAAAATATTGTAATATTATTATCACAAACTATGTCTGACAGTCCACTTTCATACGAGCCGGTCATCCATTACAAGACACATATTTCATTTATAGTATAATATATGATTAATATATTTTATATTTTTATGGGATTCATTATTATACTGTTCTTTGATAGTATTTTAAAAAAATATTTATTTATGGGGTCTATCATTTATTTTTGCTCATAGTCCTAAAAAAAAGTTCAAAAAGACCCTGGTAATTATAAACAAATAGCATATATCATTATTATAAAAAACATGTGCTGTTTTTAAAAAATATTTGTGCTAGTTCTGTATTTTATGGATATTGACATCAAATTTCAAATCACTACCGTAACCTTCCCTCTAAATAAAATACTAGATATTTGTACATTTATACTTAAAGCTCAATAAAATATTATGCAATTTACAGTATTTTAAAACAATCAAATAATTAGATTATATAGTAATATATTATTATTATTATTATTATTATTATTATTATTGCGTAATAATAATCTATTGCGCTCCATATTTTATTATTTTATAAGAAAAAACATAAAATTTCATCTATGAGATCCAATATGTTGAACGTACAATTCATTGTATTAATTTTACTATTTTCGTCTCATAATTTTTTTTATTATATTAAAAATAATCAATATAGATATTATCAAAATACTTCTAATTTTCTCAAAAATATTTTTCTTCCTTTGTATGTGAAAAAAATTATCAAAATCATCTATACATTTTTATTAAATAACAAAATACTATTCCCTCCGTCCAGCTAGAAAGTATATACATTTCTATTTTGGGACGTCCAATTACAAAGTAAACATTTCGTTAAATACTTTAGTTTTTTTTTCACAAATACCCTTACTTTATATCACATCATTACTTTTATATAAAAAGCAAGGGCAAAAATATCATTACACTACTTTTAACTACCCACTATAATTAAAACACCGCGCCAAAAGTAAATGTATACTTTATCCGTAGACGGAGGGAGTATTATTTTTAATTTACTAAAAAAAAAAAGTAATACATACTTTCTACTAGAAAAGAGGAAGTATATATTTTTATTTTCAATAAATCTAATACTCTTCTCAAACAGTATTCTAATATTTTATTTTTGGTATGTCTCAAATATTCTACAATATTTTTAAAATATGAAATAATTAATTATATTTAATTTTTATCTCATTTTATTCAGTCATATCATAAAAAAAAAATCTTTGCATCATATTACTTAATTTTAAAATTATCATACGTAACACTATCCACCTAAAATTTCGTGTGAAAATCAAATATTGCAGTTTATTTAAGACGGATAATATAAAATTTTATTTAAATTGGGGCCGCCTGCACCAAACAGATAGCATGTGCCATAAGAAAGGTGCCTACGCATAAAATACATTAACAAATATCTATATATGCACATAATCAAGTGTATATATATATTTGCCAGACGGGATGGCGTGCGCCGGACAGAATCCTGTCCTGTTGTTTCATAAACACAGTGTATTATATACACATATGGATGTACATACTTTATATACATGTGTATAAATATACACTATGTATGTAAGAATAAATAGATAAGTTTTATTTTTGAAACAGGTGATTCGTAGAATATTTTGTATAATAACCTTGCAAGGGTGGGTCCACAAGATTACAGAAATCTAAGTATATGGATAAGAAGATTCGCAATAAAAAGAGCCGTTGTTGTCTAATCATTTAAGACGTGGACTCGTAACCATGACTTTCCAAACCCTTAGATAAAATATATATGTAAACATTTATTTGGACAACAAAAGAACATTGATTTCTACCAACGTGAATCGAATTGGAGCCATACTATTAAAATCAACGCCAATTGTAGACTGCCGCCACAAACATAAGTGTCTTAAAATTGAATTGAATCGAATCGAATCAATTTGAAAAGAATTGAATCTTCATTCATGGCCGGAGCCACGAAGAAGTAAGCCTACGGCGTTTTGCATCTCTTGCATAATTATATTTTTTTCTTACATGGTACAAAGTAGGCCTATTACTGTGGCGCTCGCAGGTATGCAGTTGTCACCGGGGCGAACAAGGGCATCGGTTTGGAGATATGTCGTCAGCTGGCGTCTCAGGACATCACAGTGGTGCTGACATCTCGGGACAAAAACAGAGGCCTTCAAGCTGTCGAGAAACTTGCCACATCTGGTCTTTCCGATCTTGTGATTTTTCACCGACTAGATGTGGCCGAGGATGATTCAGTAACTGCCCTGTCTGAATTCATCGAGTCCCAATTCGGAAAGCTCGATATCTTGGTACACCCTAAATTTAGAATCCCCTCTTAATAGTTAGGACATATAGATCCTTGTTGACAAAGCTCTGCAGATTAACAATGCAGCAGTCCTCGGGTCCGACGTCAAGTGGGAGGATCTAGACCCGGCCAGGGCTACGACTGTGGCTGCTAATCTTGCCGTAAGTTCATTGCAAAATGACCACGTCGCGTAAAAGTTATGTCCTAAATCGACTTCTTCTCCTCTCTTGCAGATGGGCAAAGTTCACGTAGATTGGAGTGGCATTGCAAAAGACACCTACCTCTTAGCGGCGCAAGCGATTCAAACAAACTACTATGGCTACAAAAGGACAACAAAAGCTCTTCTTCCACTTCTCCGCCTCTCAAACTCGCCAAGAATCGTAAACGTATCATCTTCAGCGGGGAGTCTTGAGGTACCGTGTTATAGGTCACCAACATAATCATCAAGTCTCAAAACTCTAATATTTTTTTCTTCTTAGTACATAGGGAGCGAATGGGCAAAAGGGATCTTGAGCGACGACGAAAACTTGACGGAAGAGAGAATCGACAAAGTTGTGAGTGAGTTCCTTGAAGATTTCAAAGAAGGGAGAGTTGAAGCCAAAGGTTGGCCTAATTATATTGGTGCATACGTAGTCTCTAAAGCGGCCATAAATGCCTACACAAAGCTTCTTGCTAAGCAATACCCGACCTTGCGGGTAAACTCCGTGTGCCCGGGTTATGTGAAAACTGATATTAACAAAAACACGGGGACAATGTCGCTTGAAGAAGGCGCCGCCGGCCCTGTGAAGCTCGCATTGCTGCCGGATGATGGCCCTTCCGGCTGCTTCTTTGTCCAAAAGGATCTCGCCGAGCTCTAAGGCCATATATACTACGTTGGACTATGTCGAAATCATTTATGTGTTGTTTGTTGTATTATCATAACCATTTTGACGAATCCTATATGGGTAAATAAATTGGTATGGATTGAACTTGTAATAGCAAGGTTATAGATTCAATAGGCTTTCTTGGTCCGGCCTAAAATAAAAATATCATTTTTTCATAAATTACAAACATATATAGAACTATACGTACAATTATTTTATACATAAAATTAAATTACAAAAATATCAAAATATTTCATATACTTGCACTAGCTAGTAAAATACTATTAATTCTTTTTAAGCTACTACAAAATTCTAAAAAAACACTTTGGAGTGGGACAAAAAAAATACATTTATTTATTTTAGTTTGAAAAATTATAACTCGAAATATTACATGTGAGTATTTGTTTATATTATACCAAATAGGAAAATTGCAAAAAAATATTTATATATATTCATAAAATTATCACTTTTATCTCATATTTATATCGCTAACATAATATATATCCTACACATCATAAAATATCACACACTTTTTGTGCTCCGACTGTGCAGCATCACTACCACAAAAATGCTAAATAATCTCGGAAAATTGTCTCGGAAAAAACCTCCGAGACAATATTGTGTCACGAAATCTTTCTTCGAGACAAATTAATGTCTCAACTATGGTTCAACACATCACCGCGACACTTTGTCTCCACCATAGTTTCGAAGATTATTTCATGACAATGCATTGTCACATATTTCTCTCGAAACGCCACTGAGAGTAACTATTGTCTCGAAATAAGACACGAATAATACCCCGAGATTTTGAATTGTCTCGAATACATCGAGAAAAAATATTTCGAGAGTATGCATTGTCTTAATACAATTCACGGAAATACTCTACGAATTTATGTTGTCACGAAATTTAGCAAGGAAAAAAATTTTGGAGCATGTTTTGTGTCGAAATAAGTCACAAAAATACTCCGAGAGTTTGAATTGTTTTCAAACAAGTTGCAGAAAATATTCCGAGGGTTTGAATTGTCTCCTAATAAGTCGCCAAAAATATTATGAGATTATGAATTATCTCGAAATAAGTAACGAGAAATACTCCGAGAGTTTGAATGATTTGGAAATAAATCCCAAAAAATAATTTGAGACTTTTAATTATTTTGAATTAAGTTGCGAAAATATTTTGAGAGTATTAATGTCTCAAAACGAATCACGAAGAAAATCTTTGAATATATGATGTCTTGAAAGTTATCATAAAAAAAGCTTCGAGAGCATAAATTATGTCGAATTAAGTCAAAAAAAAATATTTCGATATTTTGAATTGTCGGAGAAATAGCAAAAATTATTATAAAAACAGTAAAAATCACAGCCTAAGTTAAAAATAAATAATTAAAAAATTATTAATATATTATATAATTATATAATTAAAATTAAAATACGTAGTATCACAAAATAAAAAATATATTTTATATAATTTAAAAGTTAAAAATACAAAAAGAATGTGATATTATTATATTCCACTTATATCATTATAATAACTAATTATTTTATTATTAGAAATTAATATTTCTGTTGCAAACAATAATTATAATAAATAAATAAACAAATATATGTAATTGATATTAGATATAATCCATAACTACCGTTCCAATCTTTTAAATTTTCTTCCATCGGTTTCTTTCTTCTTGTCTTACTCTTTCTTCTTATCTATTCTTTTCCTCTCGTATCTTTTTTTCACGTAATTTTTTCTTTTACCGCTTCTAGGTTCAAAAAATATTGTTTGATTACAATTTCGGTCGAAATCGAATCCATGATTGTTTGGTGATAGATTTGTCTAAATTATTTGAACTACGATTATGATTTGAAACAGTCAATTTTGGTTTATTAAAAGGTCAAATCGAAATCGACTCATATCCGATTTGACGGTTTTGAAATCAACGACTTCGGTTTAAACATTGCCGGTTAAGTTTAAACAGAAAATATTTATTTATTTATTTTTAATAAATATCTTTTTATATTTTTATATTTTTTTCCTATTAAAAAACAGTTATTTTTAATTTTAACTAGATATATATATTTTATTTATTATGTTAAAATTATATAAATAATAATTATTAATTAAATAATATTAATATAATTTTGATGAAATATAATTATATAATAAAAATTTATAAATTCTAAATTTTAATTATTAATAAATTATGGTTTTTATTAATGTCATCTTATTTTTTATAAAATTAATTATATGTAATATTATGTGTTTTTGCCCTAATGCAATTACATCAATAGCAGCTGCCGTCCGCACCGACCATCGGATCTTCCTCGGTCTCCTCATTCTTCAAATCTCTACTTTCTTCATTTTCTTTCTTCATTTTCACTCACTCTTTCTTTTTCTTCACTACTTCTTCCTGCACCGTCCTCGTTCATTTTCACTCACCCTTTCTTCTTCTTCACTGCTTCTTCCTGCACCGTCCCCATTCCCACCCACCCTGCTGCTCCAGTGCCATCTCCATTCCTCCTCAGGTTAGTATAAATATTTTTTTTTTTCAAAAAATAAAAAATACGAAACAGCCGGTTCGAACTTTCCGGTTGAAAAAAGAGAAATCGAAAACGAATCATGGTAAAACCAGTTTCGATTTCGGTTCGATGATGGTTTGGTTTGACCCCGATCTGCAGGCTTGAAAAATTGCAATAGAATTATTGTAATATTTGTCTATAAATTTATTTGGAATCAGATAAATTTGTTGCTTATTTTTTATATGTCGAGTTACTTTTTAATAAAAATTTGTTGTATTAGTATCAGTTAATCATTACGATTATTCAAAATTATCTTGTATTTAATTAATTTCAAGATTATTAATTAGTTCAATTGAAAAAGAGTCACATTTATTTATTTTAATTACTTTATTTTGTTATTGCATATTAAAGGAATTCTTTGATTTGTCTTCGGACCGGCTTTAAAAAATTATGTATGCAAGAAGGGAAAGATCATGGATGTATCAAAGGGTATTGCCAGGGGGTGAATCAATTAGAGAAGCTTTTGAGGATGGCGTGCACAAATTTGTTGATTGGGCATCTCTACAAATACAATTCATGAATCAAGGTCAAATATTATGTCCATGCTTAAAATGCAATAATAAACGATATAAAAATCCAAATGAGGTTGTTCATCTATTAAGGAAGGGATTTGTGCCGGATTACCAAACTTGGGTGTTCCATGGAGAACTACTTGATCCCCCAATCAACATTGGTACACCAAATCAGGTGCATGCAGCTGGTGGATTGGATAGTACTCTGCCAATGTATTCAAATGAAGAAGAGATAAATAATGTTATAGATGATAGATTGCTCACAATCACTGAAAGATTGTACACAGTAGACCCTATCAATGAAGAAGAAATGACAAGTAGATTTAGTGATGCAATGCGCTTGGTAGATCAGCCCCTTTATGATGGTTCTAATGAAGATACACAACTATCTGTGGTGACCGAGCTTATTCGTATAAAATCCAAAAATAATATGTCTGAGGCGGCATTTGATGATATGTGTAGTCTGATGAGGCGTGCCTTGCCAGAAGGCAACCAAGTGCCATTTGGTTTTTATGCTTCAAAAAAATTGCTATCTAATATGAGAATGCCATCTCAAAAAATAGACTATTGTCCAGCAGGATGTATGCTATATTGGAAGTCAGATAAAGCGGCCCAAATATGCAAGTTTTGCGGATTGTCGAGATGGAAAGAAGGTAGTATGCATTGACACACTTAGGAGCAAGCTCACGAAAGTGAGCGACCCTACAAGTACCAATTTCAAGACAGTAGTTTCAGCATGTGCAAAATGTCTAAAAGTAGTGATAACTCAAATGTCTGATTTGCATCCAGCAAGACAAAAAGAAACAGAATAACATGTTACGCTTTTGATACAAATTCATTTGTGTGGGGATAAAAATTGCTAATAACAGGAATAATATTCAGACTAACATGTAAAGTGAAACGTTTGTCCTCAAATAGAACTTCCTTGGTCAGGAAATTTGCCCCATTATGGCTTTGTATTGGTTGCTAAACATCTTATTTACATACCTTTAAATAAATAACATGTCAATGAAAACAACAGTAACAATGAAGCGAAATTGGGTCACCAGACTAATAGATTCTGTAAATGCAATAGGAGTTTTTTTAACTAGGTAATTAGTGTTTTAAGGATATTGGTTGATCGATGAGGTCTTCCCCACCCTGCAATTATCATAAAATTGCAATCATGTTAAAATATATATATATATAAAATTGCAGTCAGAATGTAGAACCATTATTCAACACGATTAAATATAATTTATTACATCTAATTAAAATTAATAGAGTTTGAATATATAATTTAAATTTCAGATAAAGTCAAATAAAAATATATTTATTTGGAATAGCATCATTTTAGGAACAATAAATATTGTGTATAACATTTAAATTAAATATATTTATTCATAAGTAAAGTAAAAATTCAAATATAATTAAAGTGCACAGGAAAACCTGAATAAAAATATAGCGGAATTTTTCCCACGCATTTATTTTTACTTTCACTCCACTCTCCCATTTACTTTTATCCACAATCACATTACTCACCACTTATTTTACACCGTCACTGATTAAAAAACAGTCGTTGTGCTTCTGCAAATTACTTCCATTGTCAAACAACCCTGCTCTGCGGGAGAAACTTGCTGCCACCATTAGATCCACCGTTGACACCGCCAGAATGACCACTGCTGCAATCGTAATATCATATATTAAAAATAATTTTTTTTATTTTTATTTAATCCAATTTCATAAAATAGCATAAATTATTTACTCCGCCTTAGCGTGCTTTATATCCCTAATTTGGTCAATTTTCTCTAGCGAAATTGAGTAAAGACAAATGATATCCCACCCACTATAAGAAAAAATCATTTTTGTAACAAAATATTTTTGTCTCTAAATTTACTTTTTCCGTTAGTAACGACATTAGAGACAGAATTATGAATGAAATTACGTTAGCTACGTGAACTTTAGGGAGGGAATTCCGTTACAAATATATTATTTTTTTGTAGTGTCCTTTTTATTTGCTTCACTGGTAATCACACTAAACTTTATAGACGATTTTCCTGCACTGATTATGCCATTTTTTTTACTGCACGACGAGGACGGCGGTTTACCCTACATGTTTTCAATTTTTTTATTTTTTATTTTTTATTTTTTCAGTTTTTGATCTGCATTTACTTTTGTTGTATTATTATGATGTT